GTAGAATACAAAGCAAGACACCCTATTTATAGTTTTAGGTTTACACTAGCCCAAAACATAAAAGGCCCAAAATATTCTAAATCAAATCTAATCATATGATATCTAATCATATCATATCAAATTAATCATATGATATCAAATCAAATCTATTTACACAATGAATTATATTTAACACACCACCTAATTCATTATGTCTAAACTGTCTACATTCATCATGGCCCACTTCACGTCCATCTGACATGTGTGCCAGTTGTTCATATTTGCTAGACCAACAACCAACCTGATTGTTTCGATTCTAGCAACAGGTGTGAATACTTCATCGAAGTCGATTCCTTCCTTCTGAAGAAATCCTTTCGCCACAAGTCTCGTCTTGTGTCGAGTTACTTCTCCTTTAGGATTTACCTTTACCTTGTAAACCCACTTCACATCAATTGCCTTCTTGGCTTGCGGCAATTCGACAAGTGACCAGGTATCATTGACTTCGATGGACTCCAACTCTTCAGTCATTGCTTTCATCCACTTCGAATCTTTTAATGCCTCAGCTGCATTGACTGGTTCGACATCTGCGTAGAAAGCATAATGTACCAGCTCACCCTCTTCATCGACTACATCATCTGATGTGATTACACATTCTTGCAACCTTGCAGGCGTGTGTCTTGTTCGTCGAGGTCTGTTTGAACCTGCTTCATCTGCAACTGGTTCCTGTCGAACTTCTATTTCGAATTCAGTGGTGGTTCTTCACAAGATATTCTCACTAAATCCTTCTTGGCATTCTCGGTCCAATCCCATTCTTTAAGCTCATCTATGATCACGTTTCTGCTGATCACTACTTGTTTATTCACTGGGTCGAACAGCTTGTAACCTCCTGTCGAATGATATCCTATCAAGATCATCTGATTCGACTTATCATCAAGCTTCCTTCTCAACTGTGTTAAGTATTAACAAGTGTGAGTAGGGTGGATAATAGTCCCACATTGGATAGAAATGTGGTGACTTGAGCATTTATAAGTGAGAGAACCCATACACCTATCACCTTAAGGTTTTGGGTGAGCATGTGGTATGTCTCTCACAAAGGTTGCTCTAGAAAAAAGTCCCACTATGTTCAATGCTCCCTAGTTGAAAGTCCAACAGTGGTATCATGAGCCTTTGGTTCGAATAAAGGGAACGACTTACTTGTATCGAAAGTATCCCCATAGGTCGTGGGTTCGGTACAAGGGTGCAATTGCACAGTTAAAGTTTCCGCTTAAGGGAGAGCATTGGGATAGACTCACACTTGAGGGAGAGTGTTAAGTATTAACAAGTGTGAGTAGGGTGGATAATAGTCCCACATTGGATAGAAATATGGTGACTTGAGCATTTATAAGTGAGAGAACCCATACACCTATCACCTTAAGGTTTTGGGTGAGTATGTGGTGTGTCTCTCACAAAGGTTGCTCTAGAAAAAAGTCCCACTATGTTTAATGCTCCCTAGTTGAAAGTCCAACAAACTGATCTGGCACATGTCTATGTGTTATAGATCCAAACACCTTTAAGTGACTGAGACTAGGCTTGACACCAGACCAACATTCTTCTGGTGTGATTCCTTCAAGCTTCTTCGTCGGACATCTGTTCAATATATATGTTGATGTCGAAAGTGCTTCTCCCCATAATTCTTTGGGTATATGCTTTCCATTCAACATACTTCTCACCATATTCATGATGGTTCTGTTCTTGCGTTCTGCAATCCCATTTTGCTGTGGAGTGTAGGGTGGCACCACCTCATGTACAATCCCTTCTTTTACACATAGTGTATCGAACTCTTTCGACACATACTCTCCACCACCATCAGTCCTCAGAATTTTCAGCTTTCGACCACTTTGTCTTTCGACCATGGACTTGAATCTGGAAAATACCTCAATCACATCACTTTTCTTCTTGATGAGGTAAGTCCACAGCTTTCGACTGTAATCATCTATAAACGTGACAAAGTATTTATTGCCACCAATCGAATCCACCTGGATTGGACCACATACATCAGAGTATATGACTTCAAGTATTGCCTTCGACTTCCTTCCTGCATCCTTGCTGAAGCTATTCTTGTGTTGTTTCGACTGAACACACTCCTCACAGACTTCACTTGGAATGTCGATTTATGGTAATCTTGAAACCATATTTCTTTTCTTCAGTTCTCTGATGTCATTAACGTTGAGATGGCCTAGTCAAAAATGCCATAACCACTCATCTCTGCTGGCTGCAGTTGCTAGACATCTGTGCTCCATCAAATTGAGTCCAATCTTGAAGGTCCTATTCTGAGACATTGGAGCCTTCAAGATTAATCTACCACCTACATCGAGAACTCTCATCATCTTGTCTTCGACAACTACTTTGTAGTTCTTTTCGACAAGCTGCCCTATGCTGAGCAAATTACTCTTCATGCCTGGTATGTACAACACATTGGAAATTGTTGACCTTTTGCCATCTTTCCTCATAATCAGAACATCACCAACACCTTCGGCTGCTAGAGTGTTGTCATTTGCAAACTTCACGGTGTTCTTCGACGAGGGCTTCATGTTGACAAACCAATCTTTCCTTCCAGTCATGTGTGATGAGCATCCTGAGTCCAAGTACCACTGATCTTGGAATCTTTCTTCATCTTTTGTTGTGACCATTAGCAACGTTTCTTCTTCTTCATGTTTCGCCAGCTTTGCATCAGTTTCTTGATTTCTCTTCCTTTCTGGACAATCACTAGCATAATGACCATACTTCTGGCAATGGAAACACTGAATGTGGTTTTTGTCTGGCTTTCGACCGCCACCTCTTCCTTTACCTGCAACACCACCTCTTTGTTTGCCTTGGTTCCAAGGTTTCTTTTGATTCGACTGGTTTCCTCCTTTGTTGCCATTCCAGCTACCTTTGCCTTTTCTTTCCTTTTCTGACTGCGCCTGCAAAGCCATATCTTTCGAATTTCCTGCAGCTCTCTCAACCATCCTCTGTTCATGAGACTCAAGAGTCCCTTGAAGCTCTTCCTTCGTCAATACTGATAGATTTTTCGACTCTTCTATGGCAACTACCACGTGGTCGAATTTTGGAGCCAACGATCTCAAAATCTTTTGAGACAACTGCTTTCGTCGTTAGCGCTTCTCCACATACTTTGATTTGATTCACCAACTTCGTAACTCTGGTGAAGAAATCTGTAATGCTTTCTTTGTCTTCCATCTGAAGCAAATCATAGGTTCTCTTGTGAGTTTGTAACCTCACCTCTTTCACCTTCTCTGCGCCTCCAAACGACTTTTCAAGAATCTCCCATGCTTCTTTTGTTGAATCAACATCACTAACCTTTTCAAAGTTATCAGGATCGACACACTGATGAATTATAAAGAGTGCTTTATAATCCTTCTTCTTCAATTCTTTGTGCGCAGCCTTTTCCGCCTCCGTTGCGTTCTCCCCAAGCGATGTTACTCCATCTTTCAAGTGATCCCAAAGATCTTGATAACAGAAGATCACCTTAATCTGCTTGCACCAATTCTCATAATTGTCTTTCTTGAGAATTGGCAGGGTCGCTGGAAAGTTTCCGTTCGGATAGTTCATCGCCATCACTATCTTCCTTCCTTGAATCTTTCAACCAGGCTCTGATACCAGATGTTGAAAATTCACCTCACACCCTATGAAGAATTCCCTTCAATCTTGATCTCAAGATTGATGAACAAACCCACTATATGATAATGATGGTAATAACAAGTAATTATTAAGAACAACAAAAGAGAAGAAGAATAACAAACAAGAAAGAGAAGAATGAGAGAAGAAGTATTTGGAGAGAATGTGTTACCCACAACTGTGAGATTTCTTATTGAACTTTCACTTGCTAACTGCAACTGTGAAATCTGTTCTGTTGTGATGTAGAATACAAAGCAAGGCACCCTATTTATAGTTTTAGGTTTACACTAGCCCAAAACATAAAAGGTCCAAAATATTCTAAATCAAATCTAATCATATGATATCTAATCATATCATATCAAATTAATCATATGATATCAAATCAAATCTGTTTACACAATGAATTATATTTAACAGATACTTGTTTGGTTATCTCCGTGTCTACAAATAATTTGTGTATAGTGATTAATACATTAGCAAAATTTTAAAGACGGTTAATTCCACTTATGTATAGAAAAATATATTTTTTTTTTACTTTTTATTGCTTTAATTACGACACATAAGATAGTATCCCTCAATAGCTATACATATTGAAAAAAAATCAAATATAAATAAAATTTATTCAAAAGTAAAGTTAACATTTTACTATTACAAAGAACACCACTTATTTTCTAGTAATTTCTTTCATCCTTGAATCAAGACTATAGTGAGCATAGCATAATTACACAATTTTTATTGAGACAAATAATTATTAGTTGTCAATGACAACTACATAAACATCCAAAAGAATTAGTAATAGATAAAAAATTGAGTATTAAATAAAAGAAATAACAAATCGTATATACTTACAAATTGAGAAATGGTTCTAGGTAAGAATCTATTTTCTCTTGAATCAACTTATTTTGTTTGTATGCTTGGATATCATTTGATGAATCTTGAGAAAATTGAATATGCAATGGATCCAACAAACCATAATTTTCTAAATCTCTTTGTGCGCAAAACCGGTGTTGTCCCTAAATGATGTTAACCCAAAATTTGACATTAAAAGTATTTGAGGACAATGAATATATATTGAAATCATCATAAAAGTTGTACTTACATGCACTATAATTGAAGTATGATTATGTTAAGAGCCAGAAATATCTAGGGGGTTCAGAACTTTGGGAATAAGAGCCAAAAATATCTTGGGGGTTCAGAAATTTGGGAATAAGAGCCAGAAATGACGCAGAACAAGCTTTTGTGAGTCTTGCCTTCTTGTGGAAATCTCGCAAGAAAAACATAACGTCCTCCTTTAAAAAATCCCACCCTTTTTTGAAAAATTCCAAGGTGAAACCGTATGGCCCAACACTCTTCTCACCGTTACATTCCTAAACAGCAGCCTTGATCTCTTCTTCCGTAAACTCACTCTCCAAGAACCTTCTATCCACAACGTTCAGACTATTGAAACGCACTCCACATGGAACCGGTCTTTCTACATTACTATCATAAAAGAAATTCTCAAAATAACTCTTAATCTCAATTTTGACCCTTTTAACATCCTCCTCAACTTGGTCTTCAACATTCTTCACCATGATGAAATTTCTCCGTTGACGCTCCTTTATGGAATTATGAAAGAAATGAGAGTTACTATCCCCCTCTTTCAGCCACAATTGTCTCAACTTATTCCTTAACAAATCTTCTTTCAGGTCCATCTTCACCCACATATCACATTGTCTTATCCACTGCACAGAAATGTTCCACAATGAAATCAAAAGATCAGATAAAAGGAACCTGTCAATATGACTCATTGCATTACCACTACCATTGAACCATACGAATCTACCTCCAACACAAGGAAGATCAACCAACTGCATCTCTTCAATGAAATTATTGAACTCCTTCGCTTTGTTTCTTCTGCACATGAGACATTTACATAGTCTTTCTTCATCAGTGGAAATAGAATTAAAATCCCCCTTATACACCATCCTCCATAACTCTCTTCTATTTAATTTTTATCAGCTCACACCATATTTCGCTTCTAACTTTATCAATGCAAGAGGCATAAACATTAACAAAGTTATATATAGTTCATTTACAATCCATATTAATCCCCACATAACCCACTCCAATAAAACTAAAATTGAGATTGAACATGTTTTTCCTCCAAAGAATCACCATTCCTTCATAAGCCCTTTCCAAATCCATCGACGACCACTCTACCTCCCTATTCCCCCACAAATCCCACGCTCACCGACTGTCAAACTTCTTAGTTTTTGTTTCTTGCAAGAAAAAAACATCAAATTTTCCAAATTGAATTATGAAATTCAATCTCTTCCTCTTAGAAGGGATACCTCCTCCTCTGGTATTGAGAGAAACTAAATCTATTTCTTCCTATTTATAATCTCCTCCATCTTTGCTTTCCCTTCCTTATCCATTCTCTCCATATCTTCTACTAATACAACATGATTTCCCAATTTAGCATTATACAAATTCCCCAACTTGGAAATCGTATCCCATACCACCCTACTCACCTTATGATCAAAATGCTTCGCAGATCTGTTGTTGCCACATACTATATCTGAGTCTGACAGAGATTCACAACATAACACTGCCCCCTGAAAGATTGACCTCCTCTTCTGAAGCCTCAGCCTTTTCAGACACCTTTCTACACGTGACTTCTTTCTTACTCTTTGAATACAGACAAGTGAAATACGAAGGATTGATTATGGCTAGACTTCCCAAATCTCATACCTCCCTCAATTTCTTGTTATTGGTCTTATATATTGAATCAATAATGAGTACAACAAGAAATGTTTTAAACAATTTTATATAATCAGGATAAATCCAAAATATATCTCGAATGGTTTCATCATCCTCACACACTTAGTACCTAGATCCATAATGATTATCGTCTAGAAGCTTCAACAATTGTAGCATTTCAATTTTATCCCCTCTTAATGCCTTACTTTTTCAGGCAAGTACAATGTATACTTGCTTTATATTTAATATATTTTGAGTTCTTTTCCGTTTCAAAGTTGCAAGTACGTTTTTGAGCTGCATCATCTTCATTATCATGTCTGAAACGATTTTCTTCTCTTTAGGCATAAGACAACATGCAATGGGATGATCAACTAACTTGTGGCACATGTCATGATTATGTGTGTCACAAATCACATTAAATCTCCATTTATTAGTTGCCAAAAGGTATCCACACAACTTGAAAGGACACTCACATTTCTTTGAACCGATGTCATCTCTTTTTAAATTTTGGATAAGAATTGTATACTTGTCACTTCTTTCGCATTTCAGTGTCACAAATGCAAGTCTTCTATCTAAACTATTATTTGACCTTCTGATTACACGATGACCCCAATTTGACTGTCTCTATATAGATCCATTGGAGCATATGATCACGAACAACAAATTTTATTGTTCATTTATAAATTGGTTGCCAACATCTACCTTGATATCAACTGACTTGGCATCTGTAAACACAATAGTTTTAGGGACAACACCAGAATATGTAAAACAAATAATGACAAAGAAAATATTCAAAATTTGTCCAAATTGAACTCTGAACTTATCCAAAAATACATTTTTGTATGACTTTCAACTAAAATCAGGAAGTGTAATTTCAGACGCAACATTCGTTTTTTCAAATCAAAAGTCATATTACTGGAAGTAATGAGGAATGAAATACATGTACATTACTTTAAATTCCATGTTCTTTTGCTTCTTTTGATGGGAAAAAATAGAGAAACATTATTTTGAAGTAGAAAAATTGATTCAGTGTTGAAGGAATTTTTGATAGAGTTTGAAAAAGAATGATGTTTTTGATCATGAGTGAACTAACATATTTAAAATGTATTTTATTATAAAAAGGATACATTCAAAAATATATTTTTAAATTCATAAGAGTATTTTTGAATATTTCTCTACCCCATAATAAAAGAAATAATGCCCAAATTTTATATTCGAACCACGAGTAGTAAAACATACTTCTCGTTGTCACTGCATGCATGTGCATGTATATGTTATATATTCTGTTTTTGGCCGGTAGGCCAAATATTCTTTCCAATCTGAAAACTTTAATAATAAGTCCTTTGCTAATCATTACTTCAAAAGAAATACTAATTAATGAGATAATCGCGCATCATATCATTCTCTAATCAATTTTATTTGTCCCCAATCTCAACTTGCGTGATATATCTAACTATGTTTTTTAAAAATATAATCAACATAATGGTTTAGCAGAAAAGGCTACTAATAATGTTCAAGTGATGTTCATAGTTATTTGTTCCATTTGAAAATGAATGTCACTTTTTTAAAGAAATTTTTTTATAAAATAATTTTTATTCTTATATTTTAGTGTATAACTTTTTTTAATTAGTTTTTCTAATGAGTATTATAGAAATTATTTTTAAAGTATTTTATTTTATATTTATGATGGTAGAAATACACCAATAGCAAATACAATTAGTTTAATAATAGTTTCATGTCTTTTGATAATTTTATTATATGTACAAATTAAATAAAAATTAATTTTAAAATGGATTAAATAAAATATTGAGAAAAAATAGACTACTGGCTAGAATAGTATTTTGGAAGGAAATCTTTAATCGATGCATACATATATTGAAAATTTATAATTGTGGGTAGAAAGCATGATTCCATGTAATTCAACTTGAAAGAAGATGCAAAATTTAATCTTAGTTGAGAAAATTACAAAGAATTTTTCTAAATTAACCTCAATTATGCTACCACAACTTGATATTATAAGTTTTTCTCTTAAAACTTCACATGTGTTGTACTTGATCTAATTATGCCTATGAAAACATCAATTAACTTGTATGATTCTAAGTGCATGAGGAGGTCGGAATCTAATGTCAAAGCATTTAATAATTGTAAATTCGGGAATTGTATAATACATGCGCCCCTTGAAAGAAGTAGATGTCATATCGACCAATTATTTAACATGAAGAATGTCTTTATATATCAAAGTCACCTTTACCATTTTGAAATCTTATATCATTTTTTGTGTGCCAAATTTTCCAAAGAAATATTAAGACGAGAGTCATGATCAAATTCAGAAGTTGATAGCTCCAACTTCTACTAGCAAATTTGAATAATCTTTCATAACTAGTTATATTAATGTTCGTGCTAAACAATCACTACATCCAATGCCATAAAAGTAATGTCTACCTACATCTGAGAAATAAGTGATATGCATTTTTCACATCTTGATTATAGAGATAGCACCTCAAAGCTATATGCATTCAGTTGCGGTGAGAATCAGATATCAAACTATTAATTAACTTGAATCACAAATCATGAAGTTCACCACCGAGTTTCGATTTATCCAAAGGAAAGGGTAAAGATCGAAGAAAACCCTAAGTGCGCTATGTAACAACACAACTAAGAGATCTAAGGTTCGGCGGTTGCTTATACCTAGGGAAGGTGTTAGCATTCTAAGTATCTGTAGTACTCTACAGGAACCTCTTGTTAGTATTTGTGTTATGCTAAAGTTTGCTTGCTAAGGAAAAGTGCTAAGGTAAAGACCTAGGGTATATACACTAAGTATGCTTGCCAAGACATCGCATCTCGTGCCTACCTATC